CCATCCGTAACTTGGAATGGGTGTCCTGCAACGGTCTAAGACACTCGAAAAAGTTCCTCAGAACTTACGACCGAGAAAAATCAAAGGTTTTCTTTGATTTAAGTAAAAACAATCTTGGGATTGTCACGTGGTTTGTAACAGCACAATGTCTCCTCAACGAACACCTCAGTAGGCTGAAGTTGAGAAACAACGGCGAATGCAGATTCTGTGGGGAAAATGGGGAAACACCAGAACACCTTACCACTGAGTGCGCCGAGACGACGACCATTCGTACCATGAACTTTGGTACGGCTGATGTCGAAGATGGAGAGCTGGCCTCTGTGGAGCCGTCTCAGATATTGGCTTTTGTAAAAGCCCTGAGACTGTATGATGAGCTATAACTCGTTATAACTCAAGAAAGTGGATCACGATAGATCTGTAAGGTCGCGGTGATTAACTCCCCTCCTAAACATTCTACCTTATTTATTACAAAGCAATCAAATTCCTATTAAAATTAAGAAGTAAAAGAACAGAAATAAAAAAATGTTGAAACCAAAGCAATCAAATTCGTATCAAATTAAAAAAAAACGAATCATAATAAAAAATGGTTGAAACAAAAGCAACAAATTCGTATAACAATTAAAAAACAAAATCGCAACAAAAAAAAGGTTAAACCAAAACAAAAAATAATATGTTTGTACAAATAGGTATCTGCAGTTATATTTTTTACAAATATGAAGACTCAGGTTATGTAATCTTTGTTTAGCCGTGACACCAAAAATTTGACGCCACATCTTGGTCCGGAGCCAGTACTGGGAATACCCAAATGTATGGCCCGTAGTGCACTAAAACTTTGGATCAGGGAAAAGCAGAATGTCCACTGGAGAAACAGACAGGGTTAAAGGCACAGCAAGGTCTTTATCCAAGGATCTAGCTCTAAAACCGCAAAAGAATTGCTAATGCTTAGCAGGAATAAAGTGCGGATTACAACAGGCCTCTTGACACATGGCTGTCAAGTGTTACCTGAACAAGCTCAACCTGTATGAAGAAAGTATTTGCTGCAGAATCTGCGATAAAGATCCTGAAATAGCGGAGCACATAATATGTCACTGCGAGGCTCTGGATCGCAAGCGACGCTTTTTATTTGGGAAAGCTAAGCTAGAACAGGAGGAGCTATGCTCCCATCCTATCACGGGCCTGCATAAGTTAGTGCAGATCACAGGGATAGGAGAATGGGTTTCCAGAACTATCTTTGGACTATAGACAGGGGATAAACGCAATAGGCCTCACAGGTCGCAGTGTTTCCGGCAGAGGGCGGCCCCTTGCCTTTGGAAAAAAAAGAAGAAAAAGAACAGAATTACAACAAAAAAATAGTTGAAACCAAAGCAACAAATTCGTATTAAAGAAAAAAAAAACAGAATCGCAACAAAAAAAGGTTGAACCAAAAAAAAATAATATTTTTGTATAGATTTCTGCAATTATATTTTTTACAAATATGAAGACTGAGATTATGTAATCTTTGTTGAGCCGTGGCACCAAAAATTTGACGCCACATAAAAAGATAAAAATAGATAGCCCATTACAGCATGTCTTAAAAATATCTTCAGGCAGTTCCATAACCCCTCTCTCATCTGATTTATACAGGCCTATAGTTGGGTCTCTAAAATAACTTCAATGGTTAAAGCTCAAAGTATGAAATACCGCAGTGTGAAGCGTGAAGCGAAATCTCGTGATTATAATATATATAATATTTATTATAATGATAATGACTGATCACAGTTAAAAACTCATCCCCCAGGTTTCTCAGTACTAATCAATGTTGGAAAATAAGTGGATCACTTTGAAATCCGATGGAATCAGTTTTTATTTTAAAATTAATGGTGAAATATGGCACATGAAGATATTATTTTTATAATTGATTAATTTAAATAACTTTCTTATATAATACAATGTAGTACTTGTGATTTTATAAAACGACAACTTTTCAACAACAAAGTTTCAAAAAATAGAAAAAAAACGAAAATCACGATTATCTCGTTAACGGCAACACTTTTCATAAAACTATTTATTATCTCCAGAGTTCCGTACTACATCCCAAATACCCTACATATAGGCTTAAATCATACTGTCCTTTTGGCTTCATCATAGTCGGGTAGAAAATAAAAATATAATAAAGGTGAACATATTTATATTTTTATGGATGTTCCTATATTGAAAATTTTCTCCCTACGCTGCTTTCTCTCTTTCTTATATTAGGGGAACGGTTTTTCCAGAACTATCTTTGAAAATAGAACGTTTTATCAATAGTCCTGGCCATGAAAAAGCTTAAATATGAAAATTTATGAAGATATGTAGTTTCTTCATATAGGAATCGATACCCCAAAAAGTAACAAACGACAATGTTACTTTCGCACGAAATGTGTCTATTTTTCTTATATGTTTAAGATTGATACGTTTAAGATTGATGAAGAAAAATAATTGTCGTTTTTCAGAATGTCTAATTTAAAAATTGTAAATTTGAAATCTATACCTTAAAATTAAAATATTTTACGAAGAGCAATTAATTTGGATATTTAAATGGTTTGAGCGCAAAATTAATAAAAAGAATGCCTGGTTAACTTAGGACACGCCACAGTACAGGGTGTCCCACTAAGAATGCATCTCAGCTCTCTCTCGCAAAGTATTAGCCGTATGTCCTGCAAAAAAAATACCAAAGAGGCCATGAGAAATTGCTGGAAATTTGTTTCAAGTTCCTAGAACAGCCGTTAAGGTACAACTGCTATGGTTAATAAAAAAATAAAAATTTTACAATAAAATATGATAAAGAATGCCATGATAACAGTTAGCAAATTTCGTTTTTTTTTTGTTTGAACCATTTTCCCTATCTGCTAAAATAAAGTGGTGAGGGGCGGTTAAATATGTTTTTATATAAATGTAACTCCGGACAGGATAATCGGAATCCAATGATCTAGGTCTCGCACAAAAGAACATAAAATCGCTTTTTCCAAAGCCCCTCATGACTCATGAGAATTTACTAAATGAAATTTAATTGGACGTGGCATACCACATACTAAATATACAGGGTGTCACAAAATTCCGTGGACATAGAACTACTACGTATTTTTGGAGTGAAAATAAGTTCGTTGAAGACAATTTAGCTCTATACAAAAGTGCTTCGTTTATTCGCTAGAGGGTATGAAACTTTAGAAAAATAAACACATTTTTTTCATATATTTTAAGAACCGTTGTTCCGATTTCAATGAGATTTTGGGTGTCTATGTTATGGTGCTGTAACATTTGACTTTCACAAAAATCAAGAAAAAGTACAGGAAGAGTGAAAACTACCCCCACCCCTACATAAATTTTAGTATAAATATTTTACTACACCGACGGCCGAGTTTCTTTTCGTAAAATGGTCCCTCTAGAATTTACTACATTTTCTGTCTCTTCTAAAAATCACCACCACCGTGCATACTTTTTGAGAAAAAAAAATCCATCGCTGACTTCCAAAAAATGTTTTTTGTCACATCAAATATGAAATTTTATGTTAGTATCACAAATTATAATTGACAATAAGCTTCATAAAAAGCTTAAAAATAATAATAATTAACCGATAAAGGAAGCACTTTTGTATGAAGGTAAATTATGTGCAATTAACTTATTTTGAACCAAAAAATACGTAGTTGTTCTATGTCCACGGAATATTGAAACTCCCTGTATATTTTGTAGGTCTACTTTTGATCAATAAATTCTCCAAAAAAAATTTCACAAAAACTATGCGATATGACGTTTTTTACAAGACAAAAAGGTAGTAAATACTAAAGAGACCTTTTTACGAATAGAAAATATGTCGTTAGTAGCGTTGGAAAATATTTATACTTTTTGTGAGTATTTTTATTAAAATTAAATGCATCTTCCATGTTTCTTACTGATAAATGTAACACAAATTGAGATACCGGGATTTTCTTAACAGATTTGAATTGCCAACCATCTAACAACGCAACTTTCGTTCATTAAACCGATATCGCATATCCCCAATGTCTGTGTAATATATCTGGAATTTTAAAATGTTATTTTTAATTATGTTTTAAACAATTACACGCATTTTCAGCTTGTTGTAAATTTATATACCTTCGAATGTCTAGACTGACCGGGCTAATAATAGAGTACTTAATAATTTACAGTTCTAAGGTAGCAAAATAAAATACTAAATCACTACAATACACAAAAATACTTTTACTTTTGCACTGGACGCGCGTTTCGCTAACCATATTAGCATCATCAGCAGATGATTAAAACTACACTAATATCTACAAATTGAGCTTTTACATACTCGCTCCGTTAGGAGGCTCCGAGTAGGCGTGAAAAAAACTAGCCAAGGGAGTCAAAACCAACCAATCGTAACAATTTATTACCGAAACCAGAGCAGTAGGTCCAGAGAACTGGAAGGAATTGGGCCATTGTCTCTCTTCATACTATCTTCACTTTTATTAATTTTGACCTTTTCATATACATCTAACTGTCTGTAATCTGAGACTTGTTTAATTAATTTTAAATTATTAATATCTATACAATGTTCTCTATCAATAATATGTTCAACGCAAGATTTATCCGGTCTACCATATCTTATCTGAGCTAGTCTTATTAATATCTTATCTTCTAGTTTTCCCAACATATTTCTGCATATATGTATTCAGAAATATGGTTGAGCAAACTAGAAGATCAATATTAACTAGATTTAAAGAACATATGGCTCAGATAAGATATGGTAGGTCGGATAAATCTTGCGTTGATGAACATATTGTTGATAAAGAAAATTGTATTCATATTAATAATTAAAAAAGTCAACAAAATTCAGTTAAAAATAGCTTGAAAACCTTTAAAGTATGTTGGCGTAGGAATATCTAATGCAATTTGCCGATTGTTTGAAATTAAACCACTCAAATCCTAGCCTCCGTTCGAAACTTAGTCTCGAAGGAGCACAAAACACATGTAAAATTCAACGGTTTTTCATGTTTCAGCTGCCAAAATAAACGAGAGCTGCACATTCAACGAGCAATGCGAGACAGTTTATTTCATGACCGAATGCAACAAGGAGGGCGTTTGCTCGTGCCGACATGAGAAAGTGCCGATATTGAAGCCCGACGGAACAGTGGAATGCATAAGTAAGTCTGATTATTTTTTCCCTTTAATGATGTATTACAGTATTGATATTTTATTTAGTAATGGGCTAAACATTATTAATTATTAACAGAGCTGCAACAAGTCAGTTTTAAAAAGACTTAAGCTTTATGTCTTAAGTCATTTCTAAAGTCAAAATGATTTAAATCTTAAATCAAATTCAACCATAAAGCTCAAATGATTTAAGTTTTAAGTCTGTGTAACCACTTTAAGCTGGATTTTTCAATTCGATCTAGCACTGTCTCCTCCGATGCATTCATGATACGCCTGACCTCGATGTTTGTCTTTTTTTCCATCCTAGATATACCTGCGCTCCTTCTAAAATAGTCCATTTCAACAACTTGGATTTTGCGCTTCGTATCTGCACTCAAAGTCCATAGCTCTGAACCATAGCAAAGAACTGACTCCACCAATGTTCGTCCAAGTCTCTTTTTAGTTGTTGCAGACAAGTTTCGGTCCCACCAGAGGCTATTAAGACAACCAATAACTTGTTTGCTCTTCTGAATTCGGGTTTGTATTTCTTCTTTGCCCAAACCCTCGTTGTTGATAGTAGCATCCAGGTATTTAAATTTGTCTACTTGTTGAATCTGGACGTTATCATCTATGAAGACTTCAAAACAAGCGTCGGAATTGACAGCTAAATATTCTGTCTTTTTTAGACTAACCTGAAGTCCCCATTTGTTATATTCTTGGTAAAGCCTGTTAGTCATGAACTCCAGATCGAAAGAGTCCTGCGCAATCACGACCTGATCGTCTGCAAAGCTCAGAGTAAACAGTGTATCTTCCCCAATGGGTGTTCCCATGCCTTGGCATCTCCTCTTCCATTCCCTAAGGGCTACTTCAACGTAAGCATTGAAGATTAGAGGTGATAAGCTGCATCCTTGTCGCAACCCTTTTGTGGTATTTATTGGATTGGATAGCCTGTGTCCTATCTTAACGTACGCTTTATTTTCTTTATAGAGCTCTTTTATTATCTTAAGTAGGGGTCTGTCTACTTCTAAAATATTCAAGGCTTCCCATATCTTGTTGCGAGGAATAGAGTCGTACGCTTTCTCCAAATCAATAAACGCTAGATGGACTTCTTGATCTCCTGCTATCTTTTTTTCCATCATCTGCTGTAGGACAAAGAGGTTATCTGTGCAAGATTTCCCCGGTGTGAATCCTTTTTGATCTTCCGAGATTTTGTCACCAATATTATCCCTGAGCTTACCCTGCAGAACTTTTCCAAAAAGTCTGCTCACTGAACTGTTAATGCTCAGGCCTCTATAACAACCGGGGTCGTTGCGATTTCCCTTTTTAAAGATAGACACTATATGAGCCACTCTCCATTCTTGTGTTCTCCAAGGTTGTCTTCCTCTTCTGCAGATTGGAATTCTGGTCGGTTTTCTGTTAGTAATTCTGCATAGTAGTTGCGCCATTTTCCTATATCAATTTTATTCAAGAGCTTGTCCATTTGATTGGTTTTCATTTATCGGATTGTTCGCCAGACCTCAGTACTCCGTGCGCCCCCTAGTAGACTTTCCACTTGCTGGCATCTTCTTTCCCACATATCTGTTTTTCCTACCTTAATAGCGGCTCGTACCTCTCTGTTTTTTTTTGCTTGTAATGACCCCAGTTAGTCTCTATTCTGTCTGAGAGCCATTTTTGATAGAATTTTTGTTTTTCATTTATTAAGGTCTTTATGTTGTCAGTTATCCAGGCTGGTTCATTCATTATTTCAAGTCAAGTCATTTTTGTAAAGAGAGAAGTCGTTTTTATGACTTAAGTCTATATTTTTGACTTAAATCATGATGGTCTGCAAGGCAGTAAAATGACTTAAATCAATATAATTGCCCTCAAGTCAAGACAACCAGAATACAATTTAAGTACCTTTTTTAAAAGTTAGTATTAATTTTCTTGTATTACCAATTTATTTAGGCGAGTTTCTTACTAAGTATAATATTATTAATTTATTGTAGGTACAAGTGTACAAGTGTAAGAGAATAAAACCACTTAAAACAAAACAATTTTATTTTCAGAATAACTACTATAACAATAAAAAATATACTTAAAAGCATAAAGAACATAAAAACACAACTTATATTAAATTAAATTTTGTGGTACTTTATGTACAAGATGACCCATTTTCGCGTGTTTTACAGGGTTTCTCGTTTATGAGCAGAAGTACAAAGATGCAGTTGTCACATTACTATGCTACTTTTTTATGAAATTAAAAATGGTACACACATATTTGTCCTAGCTATCTTAGCTCCGGAAATACAGGGCGAAATTGAAATTGTGGCATTGTTCGACTCCCCTCATATCTCGGTCGTTATAACTTATCGAAAAGGTAGCTTGTATGGCTTAAGTCATATCTTGGCAACAGAAGGTAGCTTGTGAGGATTGATACGTCTATGTCTTCTTGTAAGCCTATAGAATGTGGTGTCCCTCAGGGTTCAGTACTTGCCCTATTTTGTTTCTGGTGTTTATCAACGACATTGCAAATCTAGAAAAAGTTCAGCACGAAATTAACAACCTAAACCTTCGTAAAGCCCTATTAGTCGATAAAATAACATCAAAAATGATAAAAGAACTACCAAGGAAAGGCTTAGTACTTATCATATATCTTAGTGCCATATATCATTCAATGCCATTATAACTACTGGCCGAAATTATTATGATCCCAAGATACGGTAAAAACTTAAACACAGTCTTCTCATATCGCCTTATTAGCTTATTGCCATTAGTTTCCAAAATGCTTGGAAATCGAAAACTGGATACACCACATCACCAGTTTGATTTTCGAGAAAGACATTCCACTACTCAATATAACTCAAACTCTAGAAGACAAAAAGTATTACACATCAGTGTTTCTTGGGGTTAGTCATGCTTTCGACAAAGTATACCATACGGGACTACTTCACAAAATTAAAAATTATCTATCCTACTTTCCGCTACTGAAATCCTATCTAAATGATGTAGAGATTAGAGTTAGAGTAAGTGAGGAAGTATCTGCAAAATATAGTATAATACAAAAGTTCCACAAATTGTGTGTCCTAGGATCACTACTCTATGTCCTTTATATAGCATACTTTTCCACAAACAATGAAACAACAACGGCTACTTTTGCAGATGACACAGTAATTATGGCTGTCGACAAAAAGCCTGAAACAGCTTCCGTGATAAATATTACAAAGACATCTACATGTAACAGAGGCATAGTTACGTGATTGAAAAACAAACATTAATCTATCAAAATCGGCCCAAGTAACCTTTACTTCAAATAATGAACAGTGTACCACCCTCCCAGTATACTTAAACAACATACTAGTTCCTCAATCTTCCTCCACCAAGTACTTAGTTATGCACTGGGATTCTAAGCTTACCTGAAAAGAACACATAGAAAAGAAACGTAAGCAAATAGATTTGAAAATAAAAGACTTATATTAGTTAATTGGAAGAAGATCTAAACTATCGCTATAGAATAAACTTGTTTTATGTAAAACCATAATAATACCTATTTGGACATATGGAACAGAACTCTGAGGAAGCGCGGAGATCGCTGCAAACAGACGAAATTATATCTATGATCCCAAAATACGGTAAAAATTTAAACACGGCCTCCTCATATCGCCTTATTAGCTTACTACCATTCATTGTTCATTCCAAAATGCTTGAAAGTCTGATATTTTGAAGAATTAATTCAGATCCAAAAATCGAAAACTGGACACCACATCGCCAGTTTGGTTTTCGAAAAAGACATTCCACTACTCAATCTAACTCAAACTCGCAACCAACAAGAACTCAAGAAAGCTGACTTATTAAACTCTATAGTTTTCCGTTATTTGGCAGATGATAATTAAGTTTCTCCGTATTATTTTATAAAAAGCAATCACCTCCCGATTTCTCTGAACTTATTCAGTCACAGGCTGTATATTAGAAAAAATAAAATATTCTTTGTCATAAAAACGCAAGCATTATTTTTAATTGTAGCGTGCAAAAAACTGTGGTGAAAATAGTCGGTCGTCATTAAAAAAAATGTAAAACAACAGCTAGGAAAAACTTGAGATTTAGGTCAACAATTGAAAGAGACGTAACAGAGCGTTCTAGATTAAACAAAGACTGAGAAGTTATCTTGGTAAGAAAAGGCTTTTTCTCAAAAATAAAGAGTAAATAATAACAATTAGCGTCCAGAACGATAATAGCTCTAAGGGAAACATGTACTTTAAAAAAGTATCGTGCGCATGGGGACTACTTTGAATTTACATAGGGAATTTCAATATTTCATTTATTTAATCATCAATATTTCGCTAATTACGCAGGTGTGCTTCTTTAAACTGAAAAGTCAGGAGAAAAAAAATGAAGTTTCGCTATACTCTATATTGGCAACGCTCGGCTTAGGGTCCCGATTTCCGTATATAAGAAGAGTATGTATTTATAACGTACTGAACAAAGAGAGAAGTGTAAAAACGTTGCCAAACGTATAAAAAAAACGAGAAACTGGGCACAATGGAAAGAGACGTGGAAAGGGATATACGGCAGCTACGTCGCGGTCGCGCCGCATAAAAATCATAAAATTTAAAACCAGTATCTTCTTCGCAGATGCAAAGCGAAGTTGTACCTGGCATATTTTGTAGATGTAACATGTAAAAGTGTTTAAAAGTGTTTTAGTCAAGTGAATGAAGATGCTCGAATGAAAAAAATGTTGCAAAAATTCAATGAACTACCAACATACGACGATCAAAAGTCGTATCTTGCATGATTAATATTATTATTGTTAATTCCCATTCAGAAAATTTCCCTTTTTATTTTTCATATCACATATTATTCTCTATCGCAATTACATGTCGCTACTTTAATTCGCTGAATATTATCCTGTTTTCAGCTATAATTCGTACCATCACTCACGAGCGATATGTCGACCCAGCTATGATCGGAATTCTGGTAGCCATGTTTCTCATGTTCATCACCATATGCATTGTTTTGAGACTTTTTAGCAAGTAAGTATAGTTACTAATTATTTTATTTAAGTTTTAGTTTTTATTTTTTTCCTAGGTAGGGATTACAAATTTACCGACTCAATTTACTGGTAAAGGGTAATATAAAACATGGAATTACCAGTTTAGTAGAAACCAGAAACTCTGTTGTCGATTAAGGAAAATATCTTTCTTTTAATAAGAAAAAGAGCCAAAGTCAACCAAGGTTAACCAGATGTAAAATAAATAACAACTATGGTTATTCACCCAAAACTTGAAAACAGAAATACAATACAGGGTGGGCCAATGGAAACTTTCCACCCCAATTTTTCTCGTTTAAAATTAAAATTTGGAAAGACGCGAATTATAAAATAATTTTAGAATATTAGTGATTTAAAGGTTAAAGTAGACTTAATAGATCAGATAAGTGGTGGTCAATTAATACATTACTTTACTAATTTCGTCTTATATGACAGTTTGTCAAAATCTTAGAAATAATCTAGGTTTTAGTACGAATGAAAGTAATACTTCTTTCCCTGCGATTTCTCATCTACTAATATAAAAACCAGCAGCAATACCATAATTTTTTCGGCATTCCAAGGAAAAGGTATTTGCAAACTTTATTTATTAATTTATTGTCGCACGACCATTACTTATTTACAGTTTGAAGAGTTCCAACGAAATTTAATAATTATGATTTACACTACAGCTGAGCGGGTTGAATTGGTCTCTATTTATTTCAAAAATAATGACTGTGCAAGACAAACGTCACGACAATTTAATGAAAGACATCCTAATAAAAATGTTACGCATACTTACGTTAGACAACTCATGGAGAAGCTTTTGGAAAAAGGAACAGTGCAGAACCAAAAAGATAATCCAGTTTGTGTCGTTAGAACTGAAGGTATGCAAATCACAGTGTTAGGACACATTACAATGGATAACACATTGAATACCAGGCAATTGGCTGAAGTTTCCGGCATATCACGAACAAGCGTTAGGAGAATTTTGAAAGCGCATAAATTTTACCCCTACGAGATCCAATTGCTTTACGAACTTAATGAGGGTGATTATGATCGTCGATTGCAGTTTGTAGAAGATATGAGTGAGCGCTGTATTGGGAATCCAGATTTCCTCTATAATATCTGCATTTTTCAGACGAATGCTCTTTTTTTCTACATAGATTGGTCAATCGACACAATTGTCGATACTGGAGCGACTCAAACCCACATTTATTTAGAGAGTGCCATACTCAATATCCTGAAAAGTTGAATGTCTGGGCAGGTATCTGAGGCAATAAAATAATTGGACCATTCTTTTTACAAGGCAATTTGACTGGACAGAATGATCTTACTTTGCTTCCTTTGCTTCAAGAAAATATTGTTCCTAGAATAAGAGAGGTAATTGCCGAAGATAACAACTTGTCACAAGTTGCACTGTATTTTCAACAAGATGGAGCCCCACCACATTATGCAGCACCCGTTCGGCAATTTCTAAACGACAATTTTAGAGGACGTTGGATTGGCCGTAGAGGATCTATTGAGTGGCCTGCAAGAGCCCCTGATGTTTCTCCGCTAGACTTCTTTCTCTGGGGCCATTTGAAGTCTACTGTTTATAAAACCCAGCCTGAATCTCTTCAAGTTCTGCAAGATCGCATCATTGTAGAGTGTCAAAAAATAACTGCCGATATGTTGCAGAATGTTAGAGAAGAGATAGAAAATCGATTTTATTATTGCATGGATGTTAATGGCGGACATTTTGAACAATTTGTAAGATAACGTATTATACCTAATTATTAAAATTTTTATTTGGTATTGATTAACTATTAACCACTACTACTAAAACCATAGTCTAATTTCCAGGATTTTGACAAGTTGTCATTTCGTCGTCAATGAAAATAAGACATTAACGCAATGATTGACCACCACTTAGCTGATAAATTAAAATATACTTTAAATCAATAAATGACTAAAACTACTGAACGAAAGTACATGATATCTTACATCATTAAAAAGGAAATTGAAAGACCTTTCACATGAGGTATCACTCGGCCTCCCTTTCCATTTAAGAATTTAGAGGTGGCGCCGCCACCGCCTTGGGGGTTGTAGGTGTGAAAGTGATTTTATGATATTTTTCCCCCTCGAAAACTAAATCGACGTGTCCATGTCCGAGCGTTTTTCCAAATTTTAATTTTAAACGAGAAAAATTGGGGTAGAAAGTTTCTATTGACCCACCCTGTATATTCAGCAAAAATGAATTAGGGGGAATATTTGAAAATACTGCTTTAATTTTATAAGGGTTCCTTATATATTTTTTTTCGCTGGTTCTGATAAGGAAGAAACGGTAAATATTGGTACGGTTTCTTAAAAAAAAATAAAGGAACAAACTTCTACGTTAATTGATACCACTAATTACGATATTCTGAATGAAGCTTTAAAATGACTACCACTAATTTTGACGTTCTGAATGCTTACATTGAAATTAAAGCTTCATCCAGAATCTCGCAATTAGTGGTTTCAATTAGCGTAGAAGATTGTTCCTCTAATTTGAATGTAAGCATTCAGAACTTCAAAATTGGTGGAAAAAGTTACCAAACATTTAACTTTTCCACTAATTATACTTTAAAATTTGCGGGGAATGTCATTTTGGCCTTTGATTATCATCCGTCAATAGAAAATGTGGTTAGAAATTAAAAGTTTATTGTTTTATAAGCTAGATATTAGACTTTCTCTATGGATACAACTGATTACCGCAAGTTGTTGCTGGGATAGTCTATTAATTTTAATTGCGTTTTTTAGATATTGTGAATGATCGTAAAACTAAAAAGTATAAAGTGTAATTGAAACTACTAATTTATTCCATTAATTGAGAGGTTCTGAATGAAGCTTAAAGGAATAAACTTCTAAGCTAATTGAAACCACTAATTTATTCCACACACATTTATTGATTCCTTAATGACTACCAATAAATACTGGTAATAAGCGGTATTTGAAAACGATTTACTAGTAATATTTTACCGCATTTAGGGCTTTTAACTGATAAACCGGTAAATTGATAAACCAGTATTGGAATCTCTAATTCCTACGTCAATAAAATTCATATTTCGGTTAAATTTTCTAATCGTTTTTTGTAATATCTTCTAGAGCACGATGGAGGGAAAACAGAACGATATTCAATACACCTAATCCACGTTTGATGAACGTGTCGTTGCTGCGGGAAAGTAAACTGCTTCACCATGACAGACGTGGATCCAAAGGCAGTCACGGCCCAAGTCGACCAGCCAGTATGACATCACTTCCGCCACAATCGCCCAATTCACAAGGTATATTCACAATAACAGGGTAGCGTTTCTCATAAGACTCGGGCTCTTCAAATAGACCTGTTCGGTGTTGAGATTTGAAAACCGGTTTTAGCTGTTGGGATGACACCGGTGTTTATCTCATTACCGGTTGGACTTTTTATCTCACTACCGGTTTGGACCGACACCAATTTTAGTTAGGTAGATGTCAGATAAAAACCTTTATATATATATTTATATATAAAGGCATTATATATTATATATATAAACCATATATTATTTAAACCACATTTTAAAATCGCTTAAGATTCTAAAAACGTACCTAAAACAGTTATACTCTCTAATCTCTTAAGTATATTAAGGGGTGGTAGATATAGGGTATTCAAATAAGAGGTTTCGGATGTTGATAACGAATAAATTAAAAAATTCATTTTTATATAACATACACATAGGTATAAGAACTCAAGTTCGTTCAACAAAGTTGAAGAGGTTGTAACGTGCCAAAATTTCACTAAACTATTTTATTTCTTTTCTTTAATAATTTAACGCTAATTGATATTATTATTAGTCTGAAATATCGATCAGTTCAATTCAGTAAACCAAGAATAAATAAATCATACTTACATGTTAACAAAAGTAATTATTCCATCCTTATTTTTAACTAAACATATTTCACACTTAATAACATTTTTTTTGCAGCACAAAACTAGTTTGATTTAATACAATTTAATATTTATTTTAGCCGAAATAGATAAAATAATTCTTTCCGCCGTTAATTCTGTTTATATACTAAATACGTAGGTTAGAAATTTTTGAATTGAACTGTCAAATATTTATTTATATTTTTATTAACATTAACTATTAGGCAACCCAAAATATACTTTAATAAATTGATTATATATTTTTGTATTTTATTTAATCAACAGTAATTATTGAGCCTATTGTCACTTAGTTAAACTCATTAAATTTATGTTGCTCTATTTTAATTTTTAGGTAGAATTTTCTAAGCATAATTGTCTTAAAAATATCGTATCGATCCGGCAAGTGAGTCATGCGCAATATCTCTAGATTGTTGTTATTTATTAATTTTTGAATGTTTTGATAAGCAAATTTCTATATAACTTTCATTAATCTCGTTAACTTTATTTATTCTATTAATTATATAAATTATTGATATTAACTTTATTTTCCTTTAATATATAACTTTTTCTTCATGTCTTTATTCAGCTCATGGTTGGCAATCCATATTTTATCAAGGGCTCGTGTTTTTATCTGGCTATTTCTTTGTTGCAAAAAAGGTTTTCGTTTTTCTTGGAACTACCTTGGTTTGGTCACTTTATGTTCAGCTAGTGTGAGGTACAGAGGCCTCTCGGTCATTTTTGTCAAGTTTTTGATTTTTACCCTTGTGGGGATTTTCGAGTGTGCCTCAAAAATTACTGCAGCATCCTATCTTACCTTTTGTTTTTTTGGACGGTGCTACGGTTTACCGGTGACGGGATTTTCACCTCAAAAAGCTGACGTGGGTCAACCAAGCAGCCCGCCTTTTTTTTTGAGCACCCCATTCCATCCAGGGAAGAAATAATATTAATCACCTGAGGATTCGTAGAAAACCCTGAGTTAGCAGGGTTTTTTTCGTCGGAGCCGAAGAGTTTTTTGTCTGGACCGAAGAAGTTTTTGTCTGGGCCGAAGAAGTTTTTCTTCTGTGTTGAAGACTTCTCTCTGAGCCAGTTTTTTGTTGGAGCAGTTTTTTCGCTGTATCCATTTTACTTTTCTGGGGGAGTTGACAGTCGACGGTTGACAGTTGACAGCCGACGGTGTCTGCCCAAGATTGATTTGATTTAGAAGATTTTCAACTATTTGGTATCGTACAATTCAATTTTTTATTTTTTCCCTATCTTACGATTTGAATTTCATTGGTGCGTACGAATACTGAACGTAGATAATTTTTTTAAAATAATATTTCATTTTTTTTTTTCCTTTAATTTTTTTTTGTAAATTTAATACAGCTGACACAGTTTTCTTTTTGTCTCCATTTAAAATTTAAATCTATTCATTTTTTTTATCGATATCTAAATTTCTTGAACTGATGAATTCATAATTATTAGTTGATTATTTTGATTTATTTATTTAATAATTATATTATTAATTATTATTATTAGTGAATTGGTTTAGTATTATTTATTTGATTTATTAATTTGTTGATTAATTTGATATATTAGCTGAATTTAGTTGCGCTGATATATACATATATATTTTATTTTGTAAATCTTACGTGATCACGAAGGGTACCTAGGTATTTACGTAATTTTGCTACTTGCGTATTGTGAGATATATTTTTCTTGGTGCACAATTTTTTTTATTGATTTATTTAATTTACTATTTGCTATTTGGTATTTTCTATTTACTGTTGCCTATATTTTCCTTTTATATTTCAATAGAGGGTACTGAAACTAATCAGTTTGCATTATTTTTTTATATTTTTCCTTTGACCCTATGTCTACATAATTCTCTAAGATCTTGACTTTTTTTTGTTTATTTATTTACTTTTTTTTTATTTATGTATTTGTGGAACTTGTAAGGCCCTAAATACACCTGGAGGATTTCTGACTTTTTTCCGTCTAAAGTCAGTGGCGCTCTTAACCCGCCCCTACTCTCGAATTTTCTGAGCTAGGGCATAAATTTGTCGCGACTAGACCCCTGCAAATTCCATAAATATTTATTTTTCTTAATCGCTAACTTAATAATATTTTTTTCTTCTTCGTATTTTTTTTTACTTCTTTTCTAAATTTTTTTTTTTAATTTAAAAGAGCCGAGCTAAGGCCAAAACGCGTGACAAGGTAATATTTTGGCCAACTTTATAACAAATAATTTAAATGAAATAAAGGAACCTACGTTGTATTAAAAATATTTTTTATTGTGATTACCTCGGATGCGCTCGACAGAAGCAATATTTTGGGAAATTTGAGGAGAATAGGTTATGTAAACCAAACGCTAAATTTGTAAATAGCCCTACTTATTTTATTAAATAAAATGAAATGATTGCCGTACTCTGCTTGAAATTCACAAGTAAAAGAGCCAACTCAACTAAGCTGTTCAAGCACGGTTGGAGAATATTAGTACACTCAACAAGGCTCTTATTGTCACACTAAGTCATACTGAACCAAAAACATCGGTACAAATGGACAGTAACCGACTGAATTTAGATTTGATTTTTTTTAACCCAGAGATTATTCACAGCATAAATCGAATCCATTAAATACATACACATGCTACATGCTATATAAATACCTTTGTAAAATCAAATATAAGGAAGAACTTTAGAACAGAATATTACAACAAGAAAACAAAACATATTATGCTTTAGTTAACAATAGTTAAATAATGAGGAAACATTTACTTTACCTTTAATAACATTCTTTGTCACAAAACTTACAAACCAATAAAGATACCATAAATGCGTGTCAAACGGTATTCTAAAAGCCATTGCCTAACACCTATCGTCTCTATCCGTCGTTTGATTTCCCTCTCCCTAGTTTGCGAATAATATTTTAAAAATCAATAATTTTATTTATACAGGGTGAGTCTTAAATAAGTGCAAATATTTTTAGGAGTAGTATATTTCGACTCCAGAAACACGATTATGATGTTTTTTCACCGAAAAAAAAATTTTGAAAAATTTTTTGGAACTTTTTGTAGTTTTTAGTTAAAAAAAATAATTTTTTGATAATATGGCAACATAGGTAGTAGATTAGATAGATAAGAAAACCCAGAAAAGATCCAGCTCAAAATTTAAGCAAAAAACATACTTTTTTGAAAATTTCTAAAATAAAATAACTCGGTTATTTTGGACTTATTTGAAAAACAGCAAAGAGAAAATATGTTCCTTTTATCGAGATCTACCAACCCTGAAAATATTTGCACTTATTTAAGACTCACCCTGTATATAGAGAGTGTCTTAAAACTGAATATTATAAATTTAAATAAATATGTTTATATTAAAATAGGCGGTTCATCTCAATATCTAAAAGTTATTTATGACAATGCGTAGCTGGACAGTGTACAATTATACGTGGAACACACTAGCAGCCAAATGACCATCACGACTTCTCTGGCAGCACACAATACTTTTATTGAAATTTTCCATTACCGCTGATCACATTTTTGGAGTTATGTCACGAATTATTCGCCTAATTTCTTTTTTCAATTATTGAATGGTTTGCGGATTGTTTTCGTAAGCTTTCTTTTCCACATAACCCCACAAAAAATAATCTAGCGGCGTCAAGTCGCATGACCTTGGTGGTCAATTTACGTCCCCATTCTTAGAGATAAGCCTCCCTCCAAACTGTGTACGTAATAAATTCAATGGACTACCTGCTGTATGACATGTCGTACCATCTTGTTGGAACCACATATTCTCTATATCCATGTCATATTTGATCCCATAAAAATACATCAATCATCGTTCTCCGTTTACTGTAATAGCTTGTACGTTTTCATCTCCAGAAAATACGGCATAATGATACCCTCAGCCCAAAAACCCCACCAAACTGTGAACCGTTGAGCAGATTTCGTGGCAAACCATTCAACAATTGAAAGAAGAAATTAGGCGAATAATTCGTAACATAACACCAGAAATGTGTTCAGCAGTAATGGAAATTTTAATAAAAGAATTGTGTGCTGCCAGACAAGTCGTGGTGGCCATTTAGCAGATATTGTGTTCCACTGTCCAGCTACGCAGTGCCCTAAATAACTTTTAAGTATGTTATAAAACTTTTATTTTACTCGTTATCAACATCCGAAACCTCTTATTGGAATACCTTTATTTGTTATTTTAAAAATAAATGATGAATAGCCGTTATTTAACTTTGCAAATGACCCACGCAAAATTTTTAACTGACCCACGATTACTAGACAACCATTTGTTTGTTTACGCGGGTTTATTTGGATTTTCTAATTTGTGTGAATAATGTATATTCTATTCCTATTTTTAATAGTACTGCATTGACAGAAAAGCAATTTAAATGCTTTCTATAAACTTCAGTTTGATTATTACAGTTCTAAAGTCACGTAAATGATGACAAATTAATGCGTTTATCGTCATTTGCGTTTCAATCGCCTTAAAAAAGATTTTGGTAAAAAAAGTACACTATTGCAAATGTCTATCATAAAACATTCACTGCTGTAGTAACTTCTAATACAAAAAATGTCTTATTATAGGGTCTCGAAGGGGATCAAAAGGCAGCAGCGTTTCAGGTGGTTCTGTGAAAACAAACAAAAGTCCACCAAGAATAGAAAAATCGCCGCTGGCCACCACTCCAATGCTGGAAACTATTGAAGCAGTCGAAAGCCAAGTCCCCAGGACCTAAAATGGACACATCTATCCTCTTTCTTCAGCGCATTAGTTCAATATAAAATAATAAGAGCAATAAAACTGTTGCCGAATCATCTTGATAAGCTAACTTAATACTTCAATAGTTAAGATGATGCTAGGGACCATACAAATATTTGTCCAATCATCACAAATTTAAACTAGTTAAATAGACACTATTTGTTTCTAATCTATATAGAGAAAACAGTTTAATTGTTTTTATGAAATCATTTATTTAGGACAGTATCTCTCTAAATAAAGTAAACTAATAATGATTATAAGCTTTAGAAATTCGTTTCAACTAATAATGCTAGATCTAGAAATAACTATATATTCTAAAATTATGGGGATTTATACAATAAAGGAATAATACATTCTAAGAGTTAATCGCTTATAGGGAATTTCATAGAAACAATTAAACAACGTATGACTTATTTCATCTTATTAAGATTAAGTACTTAATATAAAACTTTACTAGCACGAATTAATATAATTACATTAGTAGGATTAATATTATCTAACCGATTCTTGTCGACTTCAGTCTCAAAACGTAGCGACTTTGACCATTGTTTACGCTCGGTGGTAGCCAAGATGCTGGGAAAATTTTGTGATACTACCAACTTAAACTGTGATTTGGTGTTTTTAGCTTAGCAGCTTCCGGAACTGGGGGTGACAAAAAGTACTGGGAAAACTTTTTGCCAGTTTCAGTTTGGCCACGTACCTCTCTACCTATACAATACTACTCTTTTTTACTCTTGATTACACTGAGATTGCTCATGAAACTGTCCTTCAGTAGAGTAGATAAAGTTATAAGAATATAGGCATCGCTTAAAAAAGAAGCTTTTTGGCATTAATTAAAATATAATGATAGTACGAAAGATCTGGAATCAAACGTTTAAATTATACAACGTATATTAATATATTACATAGTTTGATCTTTGTATTCTTATACTTATTGTAAGAAATATACTTATACTATACTGTTTACTAATATTTTCGCTATACTGCTTTGTTAATTATAATAAATTGCTATAAAAAAATAAGACTATTTTATTATCTCCACTCATTAGAAGATCCCATATTTTAGATATGTTATTGAACTCAAAGTTAGGACAGACAATGATGAGCAAATACAAGACCAAGACTCCTCTGGTCTTGATCTTGCAGTTAATAATAAGTTTTGGTCTAAAAAGCTAATAAGTAGTTTTGGTCTTGGTCTTACTGCAAGACTCTTGGAAGACTTACATTTTTTAATAGTTTTTACTAAATGCACTTTATATATAGAAAATCTTTAAATAAATAGTATTTTTAGTAATTTATTGCAAATAAAACTTTAAAGAAATAAATTGTGATAATATTTGTCTGAGACAATTTTTTATTTTTCAATATAATATCTATACAATATACTAAGGGCTGGAAGGTTAGCCTTGGGTCGAGATTTCCGTAAGTAAGAAGAGTACAATGCGTTTATAATGTACTGAACAAAGAGAGAACAGTAAACACGTTGCCAAACGTATGAAATAAACCGAGAAACTGTGCACATCGCTAAGAGACGTGGAAGGGGATATAGCAGATTTGTCGCAGTTTGCCACGCGTTTCCTTTGCAGGAAATTGGTAAAAAAAATGTTAAATTGTTAAATTTTAAAATTATTAAATTGACGAGAAAAATTATGAAATTAAAAATTTATAGAGAACCGAAAAAAAAATAAAAAAAAACAAGGTCTTATTAAACTGTGGAGTGTGCGTGCAAATAGGCCCTAGCTCTGCCGAAGAGATGGGGTGGGTTTTAAGCGCCACTGGCTTTGCACAGGATAAGCCAGAAAACCCCCAAGATATTTTTGGAATCTAACAAGACTTGTTATAAAAAAAATATTAGAAATATAAAAAAATTAAGGGATGAATAAAACACTAAGATAAATTAATTGAGTATTGTATAATGATATTAAATAAAAAAAATGAACCAAATTTGATGACGTTATATATACTAAATTTAATATTAAAAATTGAAAACCGAACCGTATGTACCTTGAACTAAAGTCTTGAACCTTGAATCAATATAAGATAAAAAAAGGTAAGTAAGAAAAGGAAAAAAAAACAAATAGGGGAAGATAAAATTTTCAGTAACGTTTACTTGTCTCTGCTTCCGATCTGATCCAGCGACGTATTTGCCAAGCTGAGTGCTGTAGAGGGAAATCACTTCCAGAGAGACGTACTGCAAAAAGTCTGCCAGAAAAAGCAAGCCAGAAAAATCCTGGTGGAAAAATCCTGGTCTTAAAAGTCTGGTGGGAACAATCCTGGCTTAAAAAATCCTGGTCTTAAAAAAATCCTGGTGTAAAAAATCCTGGTGTAAAAAATCCTAGTCCAAAAAGCCCTAAAACCGAGAGCGGTATTAGGTTTACGAAATAAAAGAAAGTTACCTAGAAGGAATAGTTTGAAACAAGGAACATACAGCTATAATTAATTAAATAATCAAAACACGTTTCAACTGTAGAAATATAGATAATGTCATAAAAAGTTACCTTGCTGGGCTTCACAAAAAATGTAGTTTTTTCCTAATAGATGGATGTCCAAATTGTTGGATTCAGAAAGCAGAAATTACTGGAACAGGTGGTGGTTTTATGTTTCTCTTCCCAAGAAAATCGACGATGACAAGAAATAAAACAAAAGGCTTTCCCTGTTAAGAAATAATTTGAATAGTAAAAATCGCACTAGACAAAATGGCGATCCAAAAAAACTTACCAGCCACGAGCAGATTAAAATCCCGTATAAAACGGCTCAGAGATACTTTTAAAAGGTAAGGTACAACTCAAACAGCAAAAGTATCCCTTATAATAGTTCTGGTCAGTGATTATCCCCAACAAACGGGTAAAACAGGAAAATTCCAACAAATTACACTGACCAGAACACCTGCTTTGAAGCTGAAGGGAAAAATGGGAAACCTACATCGATCAGATAGAGTTCCGGTCCGAAGAAATTTGATTTATACTGCAAAGTCGCAATTTAATATTCTGGGAATATTGCCAAAATAACGGAATTAATAAAGGATTAATAAAGGAAACATTTCCAAAATAAACATTACTTAGAATTAAAAGTAAATTCCAATAACCATTCAAACACAAACATACCAAACCTTATGCCGGTGACGATGCATACACAATATTACGGAAAGGATGTCGATTATGCAATCAATAATTATCAGAAAATACAAACATCAGAACCTAAGGGAAGTACTGCTCAACCTGACAACAGCGTGTGTGCGCCGAATACACTAATCTCAACTGATCTGAGCAATTCAAATTTAAATGACATTATTAATAATAATTGTTAACCTTACAATTTGCAGAAAATAAACAAATGATAAATTTCAAAAAATATGCAGGTAAATAACTTCATTTTGGGCTCCATAATGAAATATAGGGTCAAATAATATTTTAGAGATAATCCACACTTGTTAATAAATCTTCTAAGATAATACAAGGGCAAGCAGTACCGTAGAACTACTAGAAATTACGGCAAATAGGCTAACATTCAGAAACATAAACAAGTCCAGGAAATAAAGGTAATGTTTTGGTGAATTTACGATTATTATTTGAAGATAATACATTTTAATTATATTTTAGATCATTACTGATTGATTACTGACTGATATATGGTATGGACAGCAAAATAAATTAAGCAAAGTAGAGTAAGAAAGATAATGAAATATAGCTGTAATGAATATCTGTTTATAAAAATTAAATGCAATAAATTTATTTATCAGCATAAATAAGAGTTTGATCTAACTTGTAAGCAAAATTGGTATATATTTTAAACCTAGTTGAAGCTAAATTTGGACTGTTACAAGTTGACCGGTCGATCCCATAGACAAACAGAAAAATTAAAAGACTGCCAGAAGACATATGAAGCGCAGGAAAATGTACCTGTACCGCATCGACGCAAGTGCCGAAATACGTCCATCTAGCTATCTGTGTTTCGACACTAGTCCGTTAGTCTTAGCATATTCAGAAAGAACACGCTAACCTCCAGCGTTGCCAATTTGTGGGGAATTCCCCAAATTTTGGGGAATCCGGAGCCGATTGGGAGTTTTGTGGGGATTTTAGCAATCGGGGGCGAAAATAAGGGGAGTTTCAACATTTTATTGCTGATTGAAAATGGCGTAAAATTTTTAGCTTTAAAAACGGAGCGGGACGATATATCTTTCCCAACTTAAAAATTATAATCTGCTTTTTACTTGTGCTTCCCTTTGCAAATGCTTCAGTTGAAAGAAAATTTAGTGACCTCAAATTATTTAATGACTACTAGGGAAGGGATTAAAAAACAAGGAGGTAATTTACAGTTTAATCTCTCTAACATATATAATAAATATTGTATTTTTATTAAAATTATTTTTTTTTTGTTAAAATAATCATATGGGGAATTTTTGGTGAATCGGGACATTTTTCTCCCCAAATTGGCGAATTTAATTTAGATTTTTGGGTAGTTTAGAAAATTGACATTGGCAACGCCGCTAACCTCATTCTTTTGTTTGTTGTTTGTTCAAAAAGCGGCACGCGGCGTAGTACAAGGCTTGATCATTTTAAGAAATTTTTGATTGTTAATTTTATTTTTGTGCAAACTAAACAGTTGTTTTTTATTAAAAAATAGCAGACAAAGGTAAGAAAGGTAATGTCCATGCAGAAGTTTTTATTTCACAGACTATTCTTTCTAGAAATTATACCATCCAGCCCTCCTATTTAATTATTAAATGAAAGTGTGAAAGAGATATCAAGGTCTATTCTGTTAAAATATCATCCGACCAGTCTAGGCCCTGTTGTGAACCAGAAGGTGTGCTAAGTTGGATGTTGGATATAGAATGGAAGGAATATCATGGCCGAGAACAAGGCATAATTGTATGCCCCTTGATGTAGGGGGGTAGGTTTGTTTCTAATAGGCAGTAAAACCAAAAATTCTACTGTGAATCTTCATATTCTAGGCCTGTAAAGATAAATAATTCCTGGAGCCATCTCGAGGTATAGTACTCAAGTCGGATCGAATCAATAGATAGCACAATGAAAAGAAATAATAGCAATCATAAAACTGTAAATATGTATATAACTAGTACAATGTAGCTATTTAACTGTAAGTACAATGTAGCTAGATATTTAGTAGAATAGGGGTATTATAAATTAATACAAAATACAATAATTGGTCATTCTTTCCATTCCCATTCAATTCTTCCCATTTAATCGTTTTCCCATAAAAAAACGAAAAATAAAATTAAGAGTGCCCTTAACCAAAAATAGTGAAATAAATGGAGATAGTCAAATTTTATATTAGCGTGTAAGACTTTGAATAAAAAGGTGTAAAAGGATTATAAATGCTGTATTTATATCCTTTAGTATCATGATAATATAAAATTTGAGTAGGTATCTCCATTTATATCACTGTTTTTGGTTAAGGGCACTCTTAGTTTTAATTGCCTTAAAAATAATAAGTATAATATATAATAATTTAAATCTCCCGCTCTTTCATAGTTCGTACCTGTAGCCAAGTAGAGGGCGCTAAAAGCGCAATCTCCCAACATTTTACCACGCGATTCACCACTCTCTAAACTATTAACTTTCTCTATGGTCGATCCAATCAATACCTCTGTCAGTACTTAAAATTCTAGGGAAAGGTATACATCATGCGTTCAGCTTCACGATTTAATTACGTCTCGTGATATTTAATTTGTTTATTTATTAACGAGTCGTTGTAATTTTCCTTTTCGCTTGAATTTTTTTAAGTGCAAGCTAGAAACACTTGCATTTTTAGTAAAAATAAATGAAATTGAGTGGGTAATCGATAGTGGTCGCGCTATTAGAACAGAATTCAAAAATCGATATCCCGAAATCTATTAGAAATAATAGAATGTAGTTTTTTCAAGAACTTTGTTAATATTTCTGCTGTATTTTCTTTGTAGACAGTATGTGAAAATCTTTATCAATAAAAAAATTTACACGATTGCTGAAAATTGCTATGCTCTAAAAGTAAATGGATGGATTGTTTACAATTT